CATGTATAAGCAAAGTTGTGGAGATGTTGGAAGGAAGCTCTGAATCGTTGCAAGTTCCACCTAGACGTTTCTGGTCATCATCTCCCACAAGGCTTGCCCAAGGTACGATGCCATCAGCCACACGAAGTTCAACCAGTGAGAGAGCATTAACACTACCGGTTGCAGATGAAGGCTTCTCTTCCTAACCCTTGCTCGTCCTTCTTTAATTTACAGTGCACTTGCTCGTCCTTCTTTAAGTTTTAATACGCTTCATGTTCTGGTGGAAGAGACTTTTAACAGAAACATGTATCTTCAAGATGCATATTTCACGGTTTTATGAAAGAATACAATAAACTTAAGAAAATTCAGATGAAATTTGTTTCAAGTCTCCAACTTGCTTTCACTGCTCTAACTCGTTGCATACTCCATTTCCCCAAACCCATTCCTTCATATTTTGTAGATGAAATTACACAATTTCTTCACATTTTTTCTCTCCATTTTGCACTCCATTATATGGAAGAACCTCGTTGGTTGTGACCGATCATGCCCGGCGGCCAATTCAATCACGTCCCCTACCCGTTGGGCTTCTCCTCCGGCTGCCAAATCCAGCTTAATTGCACCTCCACCGGCACCATTTTAATCGGTGAATTCCGTATCCAATAAATCGACTCCCAGGGTTTACTAGTCAGCCTTCCCGCCAAGTGCGGCCGTGTAGTTGATAACATCAGTTCCCTCTATGGTGAAAACTACGCTCCCACGTCTAGCAACAACGTCATCGTGGAAAACTGCAAAGAGCAGATGGAGAATTGCTTGATTCCAATGACCTTAGGAGCTCAACCGGAAACGGTCAATCGCAGCAGCGTTCAAGGTGGTTACAGTAACGTGAGTTGTCTATCCGGTGATATTACTCCTAGGGGTGATTTGTGTTGATCGGTTCGAAGAGATTTGAACAACCAAAACAACCCAACCTAATGCTTGCGGTTTGAAAAATCTTAATCTAACTCAACCCGAACCAAAGTGCAACCCAACCTGTACGGGATGGTCGGATTAGTCGGGTTGGTACTATGGTACATTAAAATATTCTTCTAACCTATAATATGTTATTTCTCTACTCATAATTTATTTTTCATCATCAACCATTTGATACAACTTATCCATACTTCTTACGTATATCATATTTATTTAATTTTCTTAATTTACATATATATGTTCATAGTTACTGAACATATATACCAATGGTAAATATAAATATGTGAATAGATTGAAAATATGTGTATACGAAGAGCATACATGATAGTGTAATTGTCTAATGTACATATTAATAAAAATTCAACAATCATATTAATTCCAAGAAATAAAAGGATATCGGGTTCACCGGGTTGGGTTGAGTTCAAATAATGGTAACCCAATATCAACTCACTACATACAGTTTGACAATTTTACAACTTGATTAGATATTGAGTTGCTTCGGGTTGAGTTATTTCGTATTGGGTAGGGTTGATCGGGTTGGTCGGGTTTTTGAGTACCCCTAATTACTCAAATGTTTCTTGATTATGAAAACGTGACAAGGATGGGATGCCAGTTTTTGTTTTCTGGGATTGTGTCAAAGATGAATGGGGAGGCGATGTCCATGTTTGAATTCGTATGAGTATAGATAAACATAATCAAATACATGATAAACATCATTTTAAATATAAAAAATCTAAAATATAATACAGATAATTATTGAGTTCTAACATTATACTTAATTATTATCTTAAAGAAATTATTTTATTAAACCCAAAATAAATTAGTTCGTTTTTAAAATTCAATTAAATCATAATAAAAAATTGAATTAAAGAAATTACACAAAAAATAAAACTTTTAAATAGTTAATTTGATACTAATATCGCTTATTTTCATCAAAATTTTATAATATCTTCAAATTTATATTTCATTCAAAATAAAAACATTAATATTTTCTCAAAAACACATAAAATCGCATTATAACATTGATAGACCTATAATATAAAACAAAATATTAAAATCAAGATATATTTCGTTACATTACACGAGTACCGTTTTAATATGTGATGTGGGGATGTCATCTACATTTGTTTGGCCCTTAGCCTCTCACCTGACGATAAGGTAATTCAAACAATATCCCGTTCTTTATCTAATTATCTCCTTTCATTTCTCTATCACACAATACAAGATTTTATAAACTTCATTCAACCATGTTCGCCTCCCCACCATATGTATCCTGATCCCATCAATCTCTGCCCTTCATCTCATTTCCTTCAATTTTTCAACTGCTATACCTTAGTTTTGAGTTTGAAGTAAATTACATAGAATATGAACCTGTACGAAATACTACAATTTACCTTTTAAATAAAAAAAAAATATATATATATATATATATATATGTATATATATATGTATGTATAATGAGAATCGAGAATCGAAAGAATCATTGATCATGTGTTATTTTACGAACATTTTATTCTCATATTATAGAAAAAAAACGTTGTATTTTTACATGCATTGTTTCATAATACATGAAACAGGTCTTTATGGTTCTTAACCTTTTATACTTCTCTTTTGATTAGTCTACACACACGTGTGTGTGTGTGTGTGTGTATGCATGTATGTATGTATGTATGTATGTATGTATGTATGTATGTACACTATATTATAAAACATTTGACAAAAACTCTTAAAAATCATCTTTTATTCATCGAGTACTGTTTATTGATGCATATTACTTAAAATTCAAGATTACAAGTAATTTTGCGTAAATACAACTTATTAAAGCTCCATTTTTTAATTCGTGTAACTAATTGCAGATAAACATAATCAAATACAGAATAAACATTCATTTTAAATATAGAAAATTTAAAATATAATTAAGAGAATCATTGAGCTCTAACAGAATGTTAATTATTAACTTTATAAAAAATATATTATTAAAACAAAAATAAATTATTTTGTTATCAAATATAAAACAAATTATAATAAAAAATTGAACTAAAAAAGTTTCACAAAAAATATGAACTGTTAAATAGTTAATTTGATACTAATATCGATTTAATTTTTTAAAATTTTTATGCTATGTTCAAATTTATATTTCATTCAAAAATAAAAACATTATCGTCTTCACAAAATCACATAAAATCGTATTATATCGATAAAGACAGAATAAAAACTAAACATTAAAATAAAAATTTATATCAGCTCTATTACACGATTACCTCATTACCCGAGTAATTCTTAATAAATCAAACTCGTCGTTTATAATAATGTTTTTAAGAAAATAGGGATAAAATATGTCCCAAATTTCCATCTTTGCTTTCAGTGCTTTTTGCATACTCCATGACCCAGTTTCCTTTTATTTTCTAAGTGATGATCAAGTTACATAATTTCTTCACATTTTTCCTCTCCATTTTACCCTCCATTGTATCTCAGAACCTTGGTAATTGTGATCGCTCATGCCCAGGTGGCCAGTTCAATCTCGTCCCCTACCCATTCGGCTTCTCTTCCGGCTGCCAAGTCCAGCTCAATTGCACCTCCAATGGCACCGTTTTTATCAATGAATTCCCTATCCAAGAAATCACCCCCGACGGCTTACTTGTCAACCTCCCCACCATGTGCGGCCGTGCCGTCGACACCATCAGCCACCTCTATGGTGAACACTATGCTCCCACGTCGACCAACAACATCCTCATGGAAAACTGCAAAGAGAAGAAGATGTCGAACTGTGCGATTCCGATGAGGATTGTACGAACCCAACTCCAGATTACCAATTGCAGCGGCGTTCGGGATGGTTATGACGGTAACGTGAGTTGTTACTCCGGTGATAGTACTCGTATGTTTTTTGATTATGAAAACGTGACAAGGATGGGATGCCGGTTTTTGTTTTCCGGGGTTGTACTGTCGGAGGAGATTGGGGATAACCTGGTGTCTGTGGACATCCAAGTCTTTAAGTTGGGGTGGTGGCTTAAGGGAACTTGCGATTGTTCTGGTGATGCTGATTGTACAAAAATTGTGTCACCGTCGGATGGAAGCGATGGGCATCGGTGTACGTGTAAAAGCGGATTCGTCGGAGATGGGTACAAAGCCGGCTCCAGTTGCCGGAAAGTTGAAGGCATGTCATCAATCCGCCGGAGCTTTTAGTGCTTCATATTTGATTTCAAATTTCCCTGAGTTTATCATCATTTCAAATCTAGTTTTTTGCCAACTAACAAGCATTAATTACTCGTGTCATAATATCGTATGCCATATGTGTCTTTTGAATAACTGATCATGGCTGAATCTCACTCTTTTGAACGTTTCACACTGTTCATCGTCTGGTTGTATTCCGAGTTCCTTTACATTTTACCTTCTTTCCCAAACAGGATTCATCAAGGGAGTTGAACAGAAATTTAGCCGGAAATGGCGATTAACAATCGTAAGTACGTAACGGAAAACGAACCTCTGATCTCTTTATTAATGAACCAAGAGACGAAGCATTCCTTGTTTTCTATCTATCAAACCATTTTGTACACATCTTGTGCAGGCTTTTCATGCGGCATAGCAGGAATGATGCTTCTGTTGTGTGCGATTCTCTATCGAAAAAAGCGGCTATGGAAGACTCGAAAAGCTGCAAATCATCAAATAGAAATGTTCATACGGAGCTATGGAACTCTGTCTCCAAAAAGATACAAGTATTCAGAGATCAAGAAAATGACGAAATCATTCCAAGTGAAACTAGGACAAGGAGGGTATGGAAGTGTCTACAAAGGACAACTACCAGAGGGGGATCTAGTTGCAGTAAAGCTCTTGGGTGAAGCCACAGGAGATGGAGAAGATTTCATTAATGAAGTGGCAAGCATCACTAGAACTTCTCATGTCAACATCGTCACGCTCGTAGGTTTTTGTATCGAGGGAAAGAAAAGAATCCTGATGTATGAGTTCATGCCAAACGGATCATTGGATAAGTTTCGAGGTGATGGTTGTCATTTGGACTGGAACACGTTGTTCCTAATAGCGAAAGGGATCGCAAGAGGTCTAGAGTACCTGCACCAAGGCTGTAACACAAGAATCGTGCACTTCGACATRAAGCCTCACAACATTCTSTTGGACGAAGAATTTGTCCCCAAGATATCTGATTTTGGGYTGGCCAAGCTCTGCAAAAGGAAGGARAGTATCGTTTCTGTAACGGGTGCAAGAGGGACTATCGGATACATGGCCCCTGAAGTGTTTTTCAAGAGTCTTGGAGGGGCATCTCACAAGTCTGATGTGTATAGCTACGGGATGATGGTTCTTGAAATGACTGGTGCACGTAAGAACAATAACGATCATGCGACRAGCACGAGTGAAGCATATTTCCCAGATCGGATATACAAGCAGATAGTAGCCACAGACAATCTAGGGGTAAATGGGGTGACATCGAAAGAGGAAGAGGAATTAGCGAGGAAGATGGTGACGGYAAGCCTGTGGTGTATTCAGTCTGATCCATCAGATCGACCATGTATAAGCAAAGTTGTGGAGATGTTGGAAGGAAGCTCTGAATCGTTGCAAGTTCCACCTAGACGTTTCTGGTCATCATCTCCCACAAGGCTTTCCTATTAGAATTGTATTTTAGGTTGTACTGTTTGGTGTGGTCTATGGTTGTTTCGGTGTTCCCGAGTGTACAATATCTTTTAGTCTGTTGTATAAATACTTGTTTGCATTGAGTAAATAAGATGGAAAAACACTCTCTCTCAGATCTCAGATTTACAATATGGTATCAGAGCGTCTTCTGCACGCATCGTTTTTTTTCTTCTTCTTCGATCGAATTGATTCTTCCCGTTTACTGTATTGATTTGATTGTTGATCGATCAATTTTTTTTGTTCCTCTGTTCTTTGATTCTTAAATTGATCTTTGGAAGGTCAAATTTCTTTTCTGATTGTTTTTAGGTTTTGTTCATATTGATTTTTCAGATCCAGATCTGAACCAGAACGATTCAATAGGTGAATCTACAATGCGTTCCACTACTACTGTCGAGATTGATGATCCGTATTTTTTGCATCACTCAGATAGCCCTGGTCTTGTGTTGGTTTCGCAAATTCTTACAGGTGAAAATTATGCCTCTTGGAGCAGAGCAATGGAGAGAGCCCTATCTGTAAAGAACAAAATTGGTTTCATAGATGGAACTCTTTTCAAACCGAATGTTTCTGATCAACTGAAAGTGAAGTCATGGATCAGGAATAACAACATCGTTATTTCTTGGATTTTAAATTCGGTATCCAAAGACATATCGGCTAGCATCATTTACTCTGATTCGGCTTACGAAATGTGGAAAGAACTTAAAGAAAGATTTCAACAGAGTAATGGGCCACGTATTTTTCAAATCAAACGTGATCTGATGAATCTGACACAAGGTCAAGATGTTGTGAGTGTCTATTTCACAAAATTGAAGGTACTATGGGAAGAGTTATCGAATTACAATGTTCATTGTTCTTGTGGGAAGTGCACATGTGGTGGAGCAAAAGAAATAGAACACACCATGAACTTTTTGATGGGTCTAAATGATTCTTATTCACAGATTCGAGGGCAAATACTTTTGATGGATCCAATTCCGCCTGTAAATCGTATTTTTTCTCTCGTTATACAAGAAGAGAGGCAAAGAGTTGTAGGTGTAAACCAACTCCAAAATCAGTCTATGGCTCTCAACGTTCGGAGTGCAAATTTTAACAAGTCTCGTGTATCTAGTAATCAAACTTACAGAGGTTTCAAGAAGGATCAACCACCTTTCTGTACTCATTGCAAACGAACAGGCCACACTCAAGACAAATGTTACAAGCTCCATGGTTTCCCCCCTGGTTATAAAGTGAATCAGAATTCTAGTGTTAATTCTGTGATTGATAACCATTCTGCTGCTAATTGTGTCAT